ATGTTTCCTTCGTGCCTCCATTACTGCGTGCCTGCAGGTATACTAACCCTATCTTAAGTTAACATTTTGTCCTCATGTGACTTCAGTACATTTCATAAGACCATGTAACCTTGGCACACCTGATTGTGAGAATTTGACCATCAGTATGAACATTGTAATTATGTTCCTGTCAAACCTCAAGCACCAAAAAGTTGTTTTGTTGTACACTACCTGTTTGGTAACATATAATTATAACATTCTCGATTGACAAGATTAGTTTGATGTTGAAAGCTATGATGACACTATAAATATTCAGAGGTTTTTATGACTGAGTTAAGTGACTTCCAGAAGAATTCATATGATAAACTTAACACAGAGTCTGTTTCCCCTTTTTGTTGTTTTAATCCAGTACCAGAGGACTCACCATGTGGCTAAAAGGTTTTATAAGTAATCATGTCAACATGAAACTTCTGAAGACCTGTGTCATCCTCCTCCTTCTGACTGTGTTGTTCTTTGTATTAAGAAACATGGACCTGCTGCAGGTGAGAACTGGGATAAGTGGCAACAATGTTTTTTTGTGAGTCAGATTAAAGGGTACTATTTTCAACAGTGTCTTTTAATTTACTAAAAGGCCTCATTCACCAAGATCTGTGCGACAATTTACACATAAATAAAGTAGAAATCAAGTATGTCCTCTGTAAATGTCTCTCTGAGTCATGACTGTCTATTAGTGAGAAGCAGAGTCCTGCTGGCTGTGTTGTTGTTGGAGCCGTGTTTACATCATGTTTACATGAGTATAAAGCTGTTTCAGTCAGGACTGGACAAAATAAGAATAACATAGCCAACACACTGTTTATTTAAATGTCAGATAAGTGTCTTTAGGTCACAGCCTTTCTGTGTAAATTTATATGCAATATGAAGATAAGAGTTAACCACTGTGCTAGTAGTCATATATAAGCTCAAATCCATTTACAATTTCTGTTTAATTACTACAGCAGCACAAAATTGTTAAATGGACTTATATAGCGCTTTTCTAGTCTTCTGACTACTCAAAGCGCTTTCACACTGCATGTCACACCTATCCACACCCTGACGGCAAAGGTTGCTATGTAGTGACATTATCAGAAGTAACTAATCCCATTCATACGGCGCTGACGAAGGGGTTAAGTGTCTTGACCAAAGACACATCAGACATGTTGCTGCAGGAGCTAGGGACAAACAATCGACCTTGCACTTGAGAGATGACGTCTCTACCAACTGAGCCACAGCCACATCTAAAATAGAACTTGCCCCCGGAACCCCCTAGGTGGTTCTGTGTCCTCCTGCCATAGCCTCATAAAATCCTGTGAGAAACACTCTGGACCAGGGGTGCCCAAACAGTCGATCGCGATCGACAGGTAGATCGCTGACTGATTCTCAGTCGATCGCGAGATGTTTAGTCAATATAAAATACAATTGTAAAATAGAAAAGTGATTTCAATTTCATCTCACTGCAGTGTTTCCCACACACGATACCTGTGTGGGGAGCCCAAGAATACTTCCGACCTGTTTGTATTTAATTTTTAATTTATTCATGAAATTGCTGCGTGCATGAGAGAGCGAGCGAGAGAGCGAGCGGGGGAGTGAGAGAGAGAGAGAGAGAGAGAGCGTGCGCGCAAGAGAGAGTGCAGGCATGCGCAAGGACGTGCAGGTAAAACCGGGGGGGGGTAAATGTTTTACCAAAAAGTCATATATAGAAACTATGCTACGAGTATTAAGCGCATTTGATGAAGCTGCGCATTTGATGAAGCTGCAGCTACTTTTCTCTGCTCCTCTCTGCTGTCATGACTGTGAGCATCGCGGGGGACGAGACACACCAACAAACAGCGCAAACGCACACACACACACACACACACACACACTCTCTCACACACACACACACACACACACACACACACACACACACACACACACTTGCACTGGAGCGCCAGCCACCACGCGAACCTTTTTACTTTTTACTTTTAGTGCTACAGCACACAGTTGATCCGTGATCCGTACGGACCGAGGTGGGAACACACGTGACCCGGTCAAACAGTCGGTTGGACTTTACTCCGTTCACTCTCACCGTGTCTGCAGCTAATTTAACAAAAGCAAAATCATCTCACAGCAGCCTGCTGTAGTCTGTGAACATCTCCACACAGATTAAAGTTGTTTGTTGTAAACAAAATTAAGGGGAAAACATATGTGATATAAAAACAAACTTAATATTAAAATGTAGCCTACCCTAAAATAAGAGTTTTAAAAAAAGTATGTCGATATTTTATTCTATCAAGGAAAAGGGCTATGCCCATATTTGGTTGTGTCAGATTTGATTGACAGCTCTGCGCGCTGCATCTGTCTGTCAGGTCAGCAGGTCAGGAGGCTAACAGCTTGATCCGTCTGATTTCTCCTCTTTCTTACTTCGTTTGGAGAGTTTGTTTAACACATATCTGACAACATACATGGCTTGCTGTGCGGTTAACAGACCATCCAACAAGTTGATGCTTCAGTTTTCTTCAGTAAGTGATATAGTAGTGTTATATTTACTGCATACTTGTGTGTCGGTATTTATATTTACGGACCTAGCTTGTTTAGCATTAGCTTGTAAACCAGTCGACGAACTGTGTAGCTCATTATTTACATTATTTACGGTCAATGGTTTAGAAATGTTTGTTGTTAAGATGTTGAAAATGAGTTTGTGTGATGTTAGAAGCTAAAGGTTCACCTCAGTTGTTATCTGACGTTATGATGAATGTTATACTCCACGTAAATGTGGACATTAAAAACAAACTTTGTGTAGTAATTATCCATCAGTAACATAAACTGAACTGAACCTAATATGCTGTGTAGGTTATAGAGGATGACATTAAAGTTACATGGTTGATGTAGTGTCTTAAGATTTGAGCAAACTGTCAACAAATTTAAAAAAAATCACTTTGTAAGAGCATCTGTAACCATTAAGAACTATATTAATAACCATATTAATTTTCACTGAACTCATACACAGAATATAGCTGTAGAAATATCAATAACATATGAAATATGTATGAAAATAAGATTTAAAGCACATAGATATAAAGTATAAGAAATAGTTTGAAGAATACAGCCATGTACTGAGCTCATGTTAATAATAAATGAGTTACTGTATGTTCTGTACTGAAGCACAGAGAGTTGGGACCTGTTAATGATTTAAATAATTCAGGTTATATTTGTTTCATGTTAAGATGAAGTACTATCCACAATAAACTGCTTAATTTTTCCTCACAAAATCTGAGACAATTTGATGTGGAATATCATTGTGTGAGTGAGAGAGCTGAAAACAGCATGATTACAATAATGTTTATCTTCTTAACTTTGAATAGATGTTGATTACCTGAATACTGTACCTTTGTTGTCTGGGTAGTATACTGTTGAATTTATAAATGTACTCTTACACACAGATGAATACAGAAAAATAGATGAGAATAAAAAAAATGATTTAATGAATAACTGATATTTTCTCTCTTTCTTTGTCCTCCTGAAGACCTCTCACTAAAAGTCCATGTTCTCCTGGATCCATGTCACATGCTCAAGCTTCTTCTGAATGACTTTTCAACAGTCGAAGTTCTGGTGAGAGAAGATGGCCAGCAGATAAGACAGCAGTACATGAAGGAGCTCCACAGGCTTCAGGAGGAGGAGGAGGGTTTGCACTTTGGAAGACTGTATTCATGCTGTTCAAATAAAACTAGATCTCCTCCAAACAACTTGCAATCAAACCATTTTCTTCCCATTTTAAAACCCTTTGTCCAGTTTAGATGGGAGAAGTTGATATTATGTGATATTGATCAGGGAAGACTACATTTCTAAATCATTTTTAACTGTGTTTTTATTCACAAGTTATTGATCTTATTTACTCTCCATGTATCTTGATTTAAGAATGGGGCTGTGTTTAAGGGCATATTTTTGCAATGACCCTGTTCCATCCCACTTTCAGAAATGAACTACATTAGTATTTATCAAAAGAATAAGAAGTTGTGTAAAAGTAGACTTCCTTCCCTAAGCTATTGAGTTTAGCATTAATGCACATTTTAGTCTTGTCATTTCAAATCTGAAATGTATACTCATAAGTAGACATAAAGGAGTGCATTTATATAGAAATATTTATTTAATCTGAAAAACAACATTAAAAAAAATCTGTTTTTACAGCAGAGATTAACATGTTTACAGCTTGGTACAAAACAAACAAATAGGTGTGATTAGCTCATGTCTCGATGGACACACACTCTACGGGGGGGTGAATGTTTTGATGACTCATCAGTTTTGATTTGATGAAGGATAAGAGTTATTCACAATAAGGCTTGTAGCTGACCAGCTTGACAGGCGGGCGCAGTGTAACGGTTTGTCAAGAGGCTTAAAACCCGCCTCAGCTCTCAGCCTGTGGGTGACATCGCTCAGGCCATCCGGGGGAGACCTCCCTCACAGCGAGTTGTTGAAGAGAAGCAACTGAAGTCCACCCCAGAAGAACCAACAAATACAGATGTTGTTGAGGCTCAGGTTTCTTCCTCTGTCTCTGCAGCTCTCTGGGAACCTCGATGGACCAGTCACCAATAATCCACACTGTGTCTATAGGAGAAAAACAAAGGTGTTCAATTAATGCCTCAGACAAAATGTACAGTTAACTACATGTGACAGCTCAGGCTGTTTTTTTGTTATGAGCCACATCTGCAGGAATAATATTGAACAAGGTAGCTGCAACTCATAATAATAGATGCCAGTCTTAAACATTATTTTTTCTAAAAAAGTTTTTGGTGTGAAGCTGACACTGTCCACAGACTCCATGACTTCACAGGGTTCAATAGAAAACAAATGTCTTGTAATAAATACTAAATAATTATTTTATAATAATAGGTTGAGACTGCAAATCCAATATGGATGCGGCCGTCGATTGGACTCATTTTCTGCCTATGTCACAGACGGGTCAGGGTTCGTCCAGTAATATTTACAGTCTATGGTCATACATGATGTCATCTTAAGTCTCAAGTGAAATAAGCAAGGTCAAGGAGAGACCTTGTTTTGGGTTTTTTATGGGATCTGTTGACAATATATTTTAAAACAATGACTTTAATAACTTAAAGGTTATTTTGATCAATATTTCTTAGGGCAACCTGAGGTCGATCAAGGCAGTGGGAAGTCTGGACTCTCTGGGTATTACTTCCATGGTGTGTGGCGATCACTTGGTGGCACCAAAGTCCACCAATTCAACAACTCCTCTGCCATCAGTCAGTGTCTGAAAGGAAAGGCGGTCCACATGTATGGAGACTCCACCCTTAGGCAGTGGTTTGAGTACCTTGATGCTTCACTTCCAGGTAGTTAATACACATTCATTTCAGGTGACAGTTTAATATTATTTATATAACAGCTAAACTTGTTCCTTCTGTCATACTTTCAGATGCTAATGAGATTAACCGGAATAGTCCGAAGAAAACTGGACCTTACATGATATGGGACAATGCAAAAAACATCTTGGTAACATACCGTGTCCATGGTCCTCCTCTTAGTTTTATCTACGTCCCAACCAGTGAGCTGCGTTACATTTCCAATGAAATTGACGGGTTGGTAGGTGGCACCAACACAGTTGTAGTTTTTAGCATCTGGGCCCACTTCAGCCCTTTCCCAATTGAGCTCTACATCAGACGGCTTCAGAGCATCCGCAGGGCGGTGATTCGTCTGTTGAACAGGGCTCCAGACATGCTGGTGGTCATCAGGACTGCAAACCTCAGAGGTTTAACACCTTCTGTATCGTTAAACTACAGTGACTGGTACACACTACAGCTGGACAAGGTGCTAAGAGCTGTGTTCAAAGGACTTAATGTTCGACTAGTGGACGCTTGGGAGATGACTCTGGCCCACCACCTGCCTCACAACATTCACCCAGGCCGTCCTATTGTTAAGAATATGATTGACATTATCTTGTTCTTCATATGCACCAAATAGGGCGAATAGATGTGCATTTGTTATGAGCAGGTTAAAGACCTCACTCTTTTTTACATTGTGTTACAGTATAGCAGGTAAACTCTGTGTTATCTGCAAAGACCCAATAGTAATCCATCACAGCACTTAGCAACATTTAGTGAAGTTACAGTGGCAAGGAAAAACTGTCTTTTTACAAACCGAAACCTTGAGCAAAACCAGATTCATGTTTAACAGCCAACTGCTGAAACAGTGTTGGGCTTGAAAGTATGTGTTTTATTAGCAGTAACAGTTAGGCATGATAATAGACTGATCAGTCTAATATTAACGTTAGTAACAGTATGATGAAACAGTTAGGACTGCTTATGTTTGATCATGTGTATGTTTTTATCAGACCTCTGAAGGACTTTATATTTTTATTTTTATAAATCATGATTAAAATGATAATTTTGGTCATGTAAAAAAACATGTTTGTTGTGTTGAACTTTCGTGCACGGCCTGAATACGCCCTCTTTTTTTGAGAAATAGAAATATCGCATGCTGGTCCATCCATGCTCAAACTGCCTGCAATCCCTAAGTACAACGAGAAGAGATTACCATAATAGGGAAATGGGGAGCTTAAAATGCTTATGAAGAGTAATAATGGTTTGAATATGAACTTATTGTTAATCGCATTGTGTATTCATTTAGAGGGAATTAAAAGTAGTTGAAAAGTCAGTACCTTAGAAATTACCTCATGAAAAATGAAACAGAACCAATTGTTAACAGATTTTTCAAACAAAAAAACTGTGTTTTATTAATAAAGAATGATCTCTGTCTAAATGCATAAAAGACCTAGATGGTCTAATTTACATGCTACACAAACATAGGCCGAAATACACAAACATGCACAAACAGGATCCTCTGGACATGCATTAATAATGAGGTCTCAGAGTGAGTGGGCTGCCCACAGCAAGCTCTCCAGAGCAGTTTCAGGTTCGGTGCCTTGCTCAAGGGCACCTCGGCGGTGCTCAGGAAGTGGACTGATGCCTCTCCAGCTACCAGATCAATTTCCGGACTTGGTCCGGGGACTTGAACTGGCAACCCCTCCGATTCCCAACCCATGTCCCAACAGACTGAGCTACTGCCACTCTTGGTTGTCGCTAATGCTAAGCTATATGCTATGCTACATGCTATGCTACATGCTAGGCTACATGCTATGCTACATCAGAAGCAATACATAACACTTAATAACAAGGCTAATGCTAATGTTACACATAGTAACTTCAGTACACCCTGTTACTTCAAATACATACTGCAACCACATGCTAACAGAACAACAAAAGGCTAACCACATTGCAATTGCAATACATGGTAAATAAGCATACAGTAAGTGACTGTCCTCTGCTCTTGAAGCAAATTTGTCGAACCACTGTGCCGAGGCATGGTTTGGTCACGTGACTAGTGACATTCGAAGCAGTTGAAGGCTTCGAATGTCATACGAATCACCTGATTGGTTCGGTTTGTCATTTGGATCACTTGGCGGGATCAAGTATGTTCCGGGGTAGGCTATCCCTATTTAGTGTGGTTCATTTGGTTTTTTCGCTGTTGTTGCTGTTGGTTGCTTAAAGAGTTAGTAGTGTTGTATCAGATTACGTATTTTGTAGAGAATCAGTGTAGATAGATAGACCCAGATAATAAGGTAATTACCAGTGTTATTTTGATTTCACTTGTAGCCTATTTACCCTGGAAACCCCCTTAAGGGCAAGCCCTCAAGTACAATGATGTCGCTGTAGAAAACATAATTACACAATTGTTGTCCTTGATGTACATGCCTGTAGTAGCCAATGCCAAATTTCAATGGGGTGGAAAATTACATATGAATGCATTCAAATTATGATTGACTTTGCTAACTGATTGTTTCACAGGTCCAGTGTGTGCTGTTTGATTCGAGGCTGTCATACAGCAACAACACCTCGTCCATGCTGAGGCACTTGTAGCGTATACAATTATAATACGGGGCACCAGCTTTAAGAATAAGCACAAGACTATTAACCTTAATTATAGTAATGAATTAATAAATGAATCTGTCTCATATTATCAGAGTAAGTTCTCAAGTAGTTTAAAACCAGAAAAATACACAGACAAATTACAGAATTTTTATGTGTAAAGTTTAAAGGTCCCATATTATGCTTTTGCTGGTTTTATATGCTCTTTAGTGTGCTTTCCAAGTGTCCTGTGCATGCTTAGGCACATCTATGTGCAAAAATTCAAAGTCCACGGAAACGCGGCTTCTCCTACGTTCTCCTGTTAGCTGTAGCATTAGCCACATGTAACGCTCAGTTCTAGGCCCCCTCGATAAACATTTGTCAGTCCGACGTCATTGTCAGTGTGAGATCACTGATCTAAGCCCATTGGCTCGTTGTGGCAAGCCTTGCAGCTCATGTTGAAATTTCCGAGACGTGTGCTGAGCAACTGACCAATAACGACAGAGCGGATCGGCAGACCAATCAGAGCAGACTTGGCCCACGTGGGGTCTAACAGTGGGGGCTCAGCAGAGCATAGCTGATGGACTCAGAGCGTACAGGGAGCAAGGAGGAGCAGTACATGAAAACAGACACTTTTTTCGGACTTTAGCTATTATGAACGTACAAAAGTAGGTACATAGATTAAATATACAAACTCCAAAAAGGGCATAATATGGGCTCTTTAATATAGAAAATGGTGAACAAGATATATGAATAAAGTAAATATGCAAAGAATATAATTGCAACAGTGATACTGACATGACAACGTAAATAAGAGAATGTTAATTCTTGATTTCTAAGTTTGATATGGTGATTTTCTTATGTTAGAGTAACGGGGTAAAACACGGTATCGTTTGAGTGATTTAACTAAGTAAGGATTTATAAAAAAGGGGACTTAATTAATTTGTTATAAAAGTTGATTTAGAGGCTTTGATTTGGATACGACAAGCTTTGCTTCCACACACCCAATGCTTAATCAGAACGCTCCTTACTCTGAGTCACGTTCGGTAGAACTCTGCCGAATGGTACCACTCGTCAAGTTCTTTCGGATCGAGGATGCCGGCGGTCCACGGTGAGAGCCGTAGCAAATGTGGTCGGAGTTGATGAGTGAAGTGGGGTAATGGATGGCACAGCGGTCCAGTCGTTTGTCCATTGGGTCCGTCTCTCAGCTGATCAAAGCAGGTCCAAACAACGTCCTTTAAAAATGAACAGTCGTTAACTCTCACTGAAATGGTCAATTCTAGTCAGTTTGAGAATAACAAAAATAAGGTTCTGAAAGATGTGTGGTCAATACTAAAGGGAAAAGCTAAGCGCGTAACTTGGGTCAAAAGGCACCTGAGTTAACGTGCGATGAGAAAAAAACAAGTTAAAATGCAGAAGTTGAAAATGTCTTAAGAAAAAGGGGGACTCATTGTCCCTAACCTAAAGCACTATTTCTATGCAGCTCAAATACAATCAATAAGCACCTGGCTAAATGATAACTCTGAAGCAAGGTAGAGCTCCATAGAAAAACACATGTTGCCATGTTTCAATAAAAACAATACCCTTCTGTACAAAGACTAAAAGTAGGACACAAGTAATCAACAATGCATAAATAAGAAACACCTTAAAGACTTGGCACATAATTTAAAAAAAAAATGCAAAATGAAAGAGGACTTCATTGTACTGAGAGAAATAAAAGAAGATCCTGAATTTAGTCCTAATAAACAGGATACAGTCTTTAATACATGGGTACAAAAGGGACTGACCATATTTGGACAATGTTTAGATGAAAACGGAGTTATACCATTTGAATCTCTAAGGACATATTATGATTTACCACACTCCCACTTCTTCCAATATTTGCAACTGAGAAGTTACACGCAGAACAGTGAAACAGGGAGGAAGACTAGCAGTGCTCTCCATCCACTTGTGCAATTTTTGGTAAAGAACTTTAGTAATGTTAGTGTACCACATCAAATTTCAACTGTGTATAATATTTTAGAAAATAGTCAACATTTTGACGATACATGGGCAAAGCTAAGATGGGAGGAAGAACTTAATTCACACAAATCTGATGATACCCGGAAGGAAATGAATCGGAATGTGCACTCAACCACTATATCTCCTTACTCGAGAGAATATGCATGGAAAATACAATCACGTTATTTTATAACACAAGTGCAACAAGCTAGGTATAATAATAAAATATTGCCAAACTGCTGGAGGGAATATGGCGAGTCTTGTGTCAATTTTGGTCAAATTATTTGGTCCTGTCCATTATTAAAAGTGTTCTAGAACAATATTCAGAGAGAAGTCAAAACCATTTTCAATGACGCCATTCACTTAAACACAGACTTTATATTGTTAGGTAAAACAGTGGACAACATTCATAATGAAAACGATCAATATGAGTTAAGAAGTTGGCTTCAAAAAACATGCCCCTTGATATAGAAATGGAGAAACAATTCAACAAATATATCAGATGGAAAGTTTAACTTATTCAACAAATATATCAGATGGAAAGTTTAACTTATAAAATGAGGGGGAACTCAAAACCATCTGAAAAGAGATGGTCTAAATGGTCAACATATTATGGTAGGAAGGAACTGTATTGAAACTTTGGGATCAAGACAATCGGACTGACAGTCACTTAGGGGAGCACCACCTAGGTTTTTTTTTGTGTTTTTTTTTGTTTTGTTGTTTTTTTTTGTTTTCTTTCTGTCTTCTTTCTCCTTTGACTCTTCTTCTCTTTCTCTTGTGGCGTATGTGTCACGTCAGGCCTTTAACCTGAAAATAGTCACGTAAAACATCATGTGACATATATGTCACAATAAAACATATTTTAATAATCCTTTCAGTTAATTAAGCTGATCTAATGATATTTAATGAACTATATGTTATATTGTTCAATCCAAAGGATTTTGATTTTAAAATTTACATAAAAAACATGTCATATTGATTAAATTAATAAAATGAAGGAATACAATACATGTTTCCAATTAATAACTTTGAGCAGTTCAGAGCTAAGGATAAATT